GGTTGGGGCGGTGGGGGGGGTGCTGGCGGCGACAGTAGTGGCGATGGTAGTTACGGCGGCAACAATAATGATGGTAGTAGAAGTAGTAGTGGGGCGGTTTCAAATACTATTTTTTTTTAAAGTAGTTATGAAAAATAATTTCTAAAAATATTTTTAAAATTTTACTCCATGCACTCCCTTAGGAGCCTATTTTTTCTAATAAATTTAGGGTATTAATATTAGCCGTTAGATTAATTTTAAAGTAAACATTAAAACGATCTTAACTGCAAATAGCAAAAATCATTTTGTTTACCCTTTTAGGCTTGAATTGTAAGCTACTTTATTATATACTAGTTATTGTTTGTGCCTGAAAGTACAGAGTAATAAAAAATGGTAAACAATAAATATATTTGTATTTATCTCCAAAATTAAATCACAAACATAGAGAAGAAATAAAAAAATTTAAGCATCGATTTGTAATGGTGGTGAAAGGTGGTGGGCGACAGTGGTGGTAATAGGAGACGGTGGTGGTTGTGATAGGTGGCAATGACCGTGGTGGCAGCAAGGGCGGTGATGATAGTGGCAGTGACGATGGTGGGGGTAAGAGCGATCTGGGTGGTGGTGGCGGCGATGGTAGAGGTGGCAGTGGTAGCATGGTGGTGGTGGTGGTGGCAGCGACGGTGGTAGTGGTGGTGACAGTAGTAGTGGTGGTGGTGGTGGCGGTTGTGGTAGAGGTAGTGATGGGGCGGTTTCAAACGCTATTTTTTAAAAACTATTTATGATAAATAATTTTTAAAATTACTTTTAAAAAGTTACTTCAAACATACCCTTATGAATATATTTTTCCTATTTAATATAGGGTGTTAATATTATCCGTTAAATAAATTTTAAAGTAAATTTTAAAGCGATCTCAACCGCGAATAACAAAAGTCATTTTGTTTATCTTTTAAAATTTAAATTGTAAGTTACTTTATGATATAAACATACTAGTAATAACTTGTGCCTGAATGCACTAAGCAACTCAAAAAACCTCGATCACCGGTTATGCAATATAAATATTTCAAAAATATTTTATTTTTTTATTATTTTCTTTAGTTACACAAATCAAAAATAATTTAAAAACACTATTTTAAAAAAAATTGACAAAACTTATTTAAAAACACGATCCCTAAAAAATATCAATATGTACACAATTTATATGTTTAATCATTATACCTAAAAAAATATCTTTTTTTTTTTGTAGGAGTTGATATTGACATGTGTGTGTTGGCAGGTGTATAGAGACAGAGTTATATGAGAGATGTGATAAACTTATGAAAAATGAGAATATGATATAAAGAGGGATTAGGGTATTAATGGGTATCAGATGTATTATGTTATTATTAGATATATATATAGTCGTATAAGCCAAAGTCTCGAAAGATAGAGTTATGAGCAGTGTTATCAGAACCAGACCGGACCGGCCGGTTGAACCGGTTCAACC